TGTCTGGTGGCCACCTTCATGAAGCCCTATGATTTTGAGCTATAGTTTCAGGTGTTAAAGACTTCCTTTTACCCATAATCAAACATGTATAGCCCCAAAACCAGAGGGAACACCAGATAAAAGATGGGGTAGATGAGAGACAAGAATGCAACACTTTCTTTCATGTGAGCACTGAGGAGTCACTGTGGAGTGTGGCGGCAGGCCATGACATCATGCTAATGCCTGCTACCCAGCATAATGCACTAACGAAAAAAAAACCTGTATGGTTGATCGTTGATTTTCGTCATAGCATTATGCCGTGTGTGTGTGTGAAAAATTATTATTATTATTATTATTAGCAAATCATCTGCAGGAGGTTTACAGGACTTTACTTGAAATATTACCTGCAAGTAATTTAGGTGAGGTAAGTGGGACTTACCTGGAATTTACCTGGACAGGGTTTCGGGGGTCAACGCCCCCGCAGCCCAGTCTGAGACCAGGCCTCATGGTGGATCAGGGTCTGATCAACCAGGTTGTTACTGCTGGCCACACACAAGCTAGCGTACGAACCACAGCCCGGTTGGTCAGGTATTGACTTTAGGTCAGAGGCGTCGCTAGAGTTGGTGTCACCCGAGGCGGAATCTCTGGTGTCACCCAGGGTTGGAATCTCTGGTGTCACCCGGGGCGGAATCTCTGGTGTCACCCAGGGCTGCATCTTTGGTGTCACCCCCATGAAATCCAAGGGCGGGGGGATGGGGGGGAAGTAAATTCCAGTTATGTCACTACTGCATGACCAGTGACAAATATTTAGCAATGAGAATGTTTAAGGGCCATAAACTGAACAAGAGAATACTTCTCAACTTTATTAATGATAAAATAAATAATCGTAGTAATTGTGAAAATTTGTCTGGACTGCCTCCAAGTGAGTCACCTACCCTGGTAAACTCTGTTGACACCGAGCTCTGAGGTCGGTACCTCAGCCTCACAAGTGGCTTATAGGACAGATTTTCACAAATGATTGGTATTGCAAGAAACTCGCCTGCATGCACGTATAAAGGACTAACTTACTTGGTGTTGCAGCATATATCCTGATCTTCAACTTCCCTAAGCTTAGCCTTAGCCCCTCTGGACTTTCCCTCAGAAACCGCGTGCAACTGGGAGCCTTAATTCCTGCAATATTCAATCGTTATTAGTGACCTGCCTGCACCTCAGAAATTCCTATATCCAAGGGGGTGTGTATCCCCTAGTACAACTATGCAGACATGGACACTAGCTTCTAGGTAGACAAGAGACACTGGTACATACTGGGCATGCACTGCCAGCTGCATACAGGCCTACAGTTCAACTCACTCACAATTTTTCCCCCGACACTGGCCAGAAATCCTAAGAAAAAGTGGAGGTTTTGTCTTACTGTATGGGTCTGACAGAGGAGGTCATCTACGGTACATCGAGGTGCCTCTACCAGATTTCCCCAGGTCTCAAATGTGAAGACACGTGGGGGTGCCGTCTGCTGATCACGGCACATCTTGTCAGGTTGGTGTCTGTCTACAGAAGGACGCTATTGTGTCTTTGAGACCCATGCCTCGTAGTTCAAACTAGGGCTGCTAGTTCTCCCTAGCTAACTTATCCTAGTGTTTGCATACATTATCGGCCTATTACTACCAGTATTATAATGGTACTTAGTGGAGTGGAGCAACTTTCATTAGTTTCTTTTTTCTTTAAATACCAGACATATACTATGAATCTCGTATAACCTGTAGTTATCAGCGGTCGCAATATACACAACGAGAAGCAATTATTACTACAGAAAAAGCGTCCTTCCTCCAAAATTTCCACCAGTCAACTATAGTCATAATATAGCATTTATTGTGGTGATGAAAAAAAACTAAAAAAGCTAGATACAGCGATTGATAAACAAGGGTTGAGGCTCGACCGTTCGTCATTGTAGGAGCTGCCAGCAATCATTGGTTCTTCAACATGCAAGTTATGCTTTTGTATCAATCAAATCACATATTACTAGGGTAGATAATTTCAAGTAGATCCTTCATGTGTTAGCCCAAATCACCGACCAGTATGTTTTAAATAAGTGACCCACTGAGCAGATCAGACTGGTTCGAACCCTCGACTGGTCGAACCCTCGGGCTGGTCCGAACCCTTGACTGGTCCGAACCCTTGACTGGTTTCAAACGATTCGTTGGAATAAAAAGCAAAGGG